GCACTTTTACCCTCCTGCCACATTATTTTTTAAGCCGAATCAAAGGTCCCTATATTACATTACTTATGGTAAAAAAGACTTTCACTCTTCACATCCACTCATCTCCACTAACCCTGGCACCATATTGTAAGAACTCCCCAGTTATAAAAAATAGAAATAAATCAAAAAGCGAGCCAAATTGTAGGCCTATCAGTTCAAAGTGTTCAGGTTTCATGCAAACACTGTTAAGAAATAAACTGTTTGCTTTTTTCCTCCCAAGATAAAGTTCGTTATTAAATACATTATCTGACTCTTATCTGTCTTTCTTCACCATATTTTTAATGAGAGAGGAGGAGCGTGTAACTTGCTGCAAACCCACCCAGATTCATTTGCACCACTCCCCTGTCTGTTGTACTGAAACACAATATAGAAACCCAACACAACCACAACACATTTTAGATATTTAAAGGATTTCCCTCATTGTGTTATTTGATTATTTTAATTATTGATTTTAAGATGGGGCAACTGAAAAGTTCCTAGACTTTGTTTTATAGTTTTTGTCCTATTGTTATTGATATCCTGCAGTCTTAATGTTTTTTTTTTTGTTTTTTTTTTTAAACTAGTTAGGGTTAAAGGAAAATAGAGGGGAACAAATGGGGAAAAAAAGAAAAAAGGAAAAAAGAGGGAAAAAAAGGTTGAAAATTATTTTTATATTGCATGGTGAGCAGAGTGAACAGATTGTGATGGTGTCATGGTGATTGATTAACCCTTTACTCTCCTTTCCCCTCCCCACTCCCATGGAGCAACCGGGACTGAAGAGGACGGCTATCCTGAACGGTCCCTACAAGTGCCAAGATCTTCTGTCTGTCTTTAACCATGTGTTGAAGTGCATCAGTGTGTGATGTACTGCAAACTGACTAGTTTTCACAGTGCAGCAGTAAAGACAAACCTTCAGGGAGGAATCTTTGACAGAACACAGTGTCTGTCAGGTCGACCTGTTGTTATTTCAGTCCAACTGAATCAGTGTGCATGATATTTACTCCATCTCACTGCCAAACAGTGTTTCTATGTCAGGAGGCTCCTCTTTGTTACACAAATCTTCTCTTCTAAAACTAACATTGGAATGTGGACAGGAAGGATCCCAAATTGGGATATTCTTTCACAAAGTTTAGTCTTAATACATTGTTTAATTTTACATTTAAACTGCACACATTTCAACAATTTACAGCACTGGAAATGTATTTAAAAAAGCTGCGGATGACGTAAAGGTGAGTCAAGTTTGAATAATAGAAGCTTATTTTCCAGTGCAACATCATTTTAGTAAGCATTTGGTTGACTGTTTTTCTATTATCTTAGATGTAAATATTGCACATTTCTTTCAGAAACATACTAAAAACAAGCCCCGCTGCTTGCCAAGGAAAAATAAATAAAAATCAGATAAGAGTCGTAATTAATTGAGCAAGCTAACATAAACTTGATTTCACTTTAGCTCATATACAAAACAACAGTGGTGAAACAAGTAGGCTCCTCTTCTCCGGCCACTGAGTCAAGCAGTCTGTGTGCATGAGTAAGCCTCAGTGCATGACGTGTCCAGATGTANAGGCTCCTCTTCTCCGGCCACTGAGTCAAGCAGTCTGTGTGCATGAGTAAGCCTCAGTGCATGACGTGTCCAGATGTAAACAAACCAACGTGTAGGATGAGGAACTACAGTGGTAAACAATAGTCTCAAGTTGATCGTTTATGTTACTTATCCTCAAATGAAGCGATGTACTTCTCTGCCTCCGACACCTCCTGGAAAAAAGCTGATCGGAACCATTGATCAGTCTGATGGTAGCTGGATAGATTAAGAAGGCTTGCATACCCAGGACTGTTTATCACCGGGTAGCAGGGTCATCTGCGCTTCATAGTGTGGTCGCTGAAGTCCGCGGTGAAGAGGATGGTGCGGCCGGCGATCTCCACTGGGTTCTTCCTGGACTCCTTCAGGATGCGGTCGCTTTCCAAGAAATGAAGACATTTGAAGATCAGGACTCGAGCAGCAGATGAATGCTCTTGCTGGCGTCCCATGCAATGTGCTCTCATGATCTAAGGAGGATTATTAACGGGGGGCTGGGAACCACTTGGGGATGTTAGCAGAAAAGTAGGCTAATGCATTGTCCTTCTCCTCACCCTCTTTGAGGAATAACACCTGCAGGTTATTCCTCCTGTCTCTGTCCTCCATATCCGTAACTTTAGCTTCAAGTTGATTCCTCAATTCACTGTTTTGAGCGGCCGTTGTTTCCACTTTCTGTAAGCGCTCCTGCATCTTTGACGTAATTGCACGCTGGGTTTTAATTTCTTCATCGTGTTTGGTTAAGGTTGCTTGCATTGTTACCAGCTTAGACTCCAAGCGATCGAATCTTTCATTGGTATTTTTCTCGGCTAAGTTGAAATATCTTTGTAGTGTGGCTTTGAGAGACGCCATTGTCAGTTGGCTGTCATTAGTCTCCACCGGATCCATTTGTTTGTTTGTCGTTTTCTCTTTCTTGCCACGTGATTGCGTTGTTGTCATTGCCACATCAAACAATGAAACTTGTTAAATTTACCACTGTTAAAGCTAAGTGGAGTCTGTTTCGTCAACAATAGAAGGTTTGCTCAAACAATTGCGGGGGAGAGGAGCTGAGTTTCCCTACTCTGCCATCTTGGTGACCTACCACAAAAAAACATATTACCCTTCTAAACTGCCCTTTTTAAATGTCTAAATGGCATGGTTAAAAACAAAGAGAAAAACAACATGTACAAAACATCAGGTACTTAATAACAGCACATATAGAAATATAAAACCAAAAATGTATGACATGAGTATATTCAAAATGTATGAATAACAGCATTTTAAGACTATTGCGTAAAATAAAACAAACATACTACAACAACAACAACAACAACAGAGACAAAACGAAGACGCAAGCTCACAGAGAAAAGTGTATCTGTTAGTGGCCCGCTGAGCCAGTAGTTATGTTCCAGGTTTTGCCACATACCCTAGAAGGTGCATAAGTAGTGTTAATTGCCACACACCTGTGTTTGCCACACAGAGCATGTTTGTTGCACAGAGAGGTGAAGAGAGCTGAGAAGCACAAAGTAAGTTCTAATTGTTTGCCATACTGTCTGCTTGGTTTTATATTTGGTATGACATTCATGTGAAGTGTGTTTCTGTTCAGTGCAGTTTGGTTCGTGTTCCTGTTACCATTTACTACTTGTATGAGGAGAGTTTGCACCCTTGGAAGGCGAAGCGAGGTAGGCTATGTGGCATTACTGGCATGTTTTGTTGTATTTGTGTGCCCCTAGTTTCAGTTTAATTATGTGCAATATTGCAATGTTTTAGGGTTGACTGTATAATAATAAAATGTGTGTGTTTTTAAAGAAAATGTTAACTATGTGTTTGGGTAAAATGTGAGACGTTTTAATATGTGCAAATATTATTAACATTTTGTTATATGTGTTTTTAGTTTCACGGTGCTCGATGGATGAATACAGTTTTTGCACCAGTCGAACTCTACGCTGTTTTATTGATGCCAAGGGCTGCTACAGTATCCACTCAGAGGAAAAATTGCACAACTTTCCAAAAGCTTGGTATTCGTTTTTGTTTCCTAACGAACTGGGTGATGTAAGAGGAGCCTTCAAAAAAAATTCTAAAAATTCAGGAGGCGACTTTGATCATCTCTGCTTATGAATAAAAAGTTTAGCATTTCGAATAAATTGAAGAATACTTTTATCTGGATCATCGTAATAACAAATAACATCACTGAGGTTTGAGGAGTAAACTGAATTAGAGTTTTCAAAGAGGTGAGATTCCACATTGCTCCAAAGTCTTTTGGACTTTTCATATTGAAGAAAAACAACCAAACAAAATCTATTAATACTTATCAGAATATACAACTGTACAGTTAATCTGAGTCTTTATCAATCAATCAATCAATTTTATTTATAAAGCCCAATATCACATATCACAATTTGCCTCACAAGGCTTTACAGCATACAACATCCCTCTGTCCTTAGGACCCTATCCTGACGTCAACTGTATTACTTTGTAGATGATCTTTTTGGCTGCTGTATCAGTTTCCATCACTTCTATCAACTAATTTATAGTAGACTAAATATATGCTAAATGTAACAAACTCATCTGTATTTCTCATACCTGACAACCACCAACAGTTTCTGATGTACAAATGTAAACTACAGTGTTATTCAACTGAAAACAGATTGTGTTGTGTGATTTGGGAGAGGTGGATAATGAGGGCTGAACTCATTAGACAACATTAGATGATTCAACAAAACCCTGAAATATTCTGAATGTTCACATGATGAAAAACTAGAATGGGTGTTTAATTTTGTGGTGTGTAAGTTTATAGATTTCTCTCAATATGAAAGTCACAGAATGTTATATTGATGGCATTAGTTTAATTTTCTTAGGATCATTAGATCTGTAACAATACACAGAAATATAGACATAAAACATGCTGCTTATTTTATACCTCATTTTTTTTAATGTTTGAATTCAGTTGCAAACACATGGTCAATAATACATCGTATTCATCTTGGGACAGTCTTCAGATAAAGTGGGTGGCTCTTAAAAGAGCCGTTGGTCTATTATTAGAGGCAGCAGAACTGTCTACTTGGAGCTGGTGTACTTGGTGACGGCCTTGGTGCCCTCAGACACGGCGTGCTTGGCCAGCTCACCGGGCAGCAGCAGGCGGACGGCGGTCTGGATCTCCCTGGAAGTGATGGTGGAGCGCTTGTTGTAGTGAGCCAGACGGGAGGCCTCACCGGCGATGCGCTCAAAGATGTCGCTCACAAACGAGTTCATGATGCCCATAGCCTTGGACGAGATGCCGGTGTCGGGGTGGACCTGCTTCAGCACCTTGTACACGTA